ATTGTAGCTTAGCTAGATTTCCCTCAGCAAGTTATTTAGCCCAAACCTTGGTCTATTAATATGTAAAATGTGACTTATAAGAACTACCTCTTCAGTTATTATATGTACAGTCATGTATTTAATGGTGGGGATCCATTATTTTGAGAAATGTGTCCTTAGAAATATTGTTGTTGTGAGAACATCATAGGGTGTATTACACAAACCTAGACAGTATAGCTTAATATATAGTTGGCCACATGATGCAGCCATTTGTTCCTAGGCTACAAACCAGTACAGCATGTTACTACAATGAATAGTATAGACAACTGTAATACAGGGCAAGTATTTTTTGGGTCTAGACACACCTAAACATTAGACAGGTACAGTAAAAATACTAAGGAATAAGACTTTTCCAGCTTCATTATAATCTTACAGGACCTACATAATATACAAGGTCCATTGCTGACCAGATTGTTAGGTGACACATGACTGTACCAGAGGAGAAAATCCATGGGGCGGTAGAGAGGGAAAAGGAAAAGAAAATGGGGGGGGGGATTCTCATGAACATTGGAAAATTAGTAGAGTAGAGGAAAGGAACCAGGGGAGCATGGAGGGAAGGGAAAGGGGAAATACTGGGGAATGATATCAGCCAAGTTTATATATAAATAAATAAATGGAGTTTATTGAAATTCATGGAGTTGCAGTAAATAGCAGTAGAGACGGTAAGGTAGCCTTCTGTCTTCAATTGACTTCATGGAATTTATACTGTTCCGCACAGACAGAATCCAAAGTACTTTCAGGTGTATCCTTTTTTCTTCTTTTTTTAAAATTTTGTTTTATCTGTTCTTTTTAGATATACATGACAGTAGACAGTCTTTTGACATATTACACATACATGGAGTGTAACTTCCCATTCTTGAGGTTGTACACAATATCAGCTAAATCACACTATTATATTGTGTACATGTGTGAATACGTAAAAACAGATCCCAACATTATGTACAACTATAATGCACCAATAAAAAATATGGGAAAGAAAGAAAATCCATGGGAACGCCACACCACAGTGACTAACCTAGAACAAATGTTAAGGATGGGTCCATTGTTATTCTAACAGGGATTTTTGTAAAAAACAAAAAAAAAATGTATGCTGGTATTAGGAGGAAGTTTTGGTCACTAATGCCTTTGGTAGTTTTTCTCAGTTTCTTTAGGATTTATCATTGATTTATATCAGTTAATTGATAAGAACATTTTTATTATAATAAAGAGCTACAGGCTTTGGTAATGTTAATGTGATCCAGATGAGTATTTTTCTTGCTGAAATGTTTGTCATTTTTTAAGGTTTTGTGGAAATTGTTTACTTTGTTTCTTTTCTCTCTCTCTCTCTCTCTCTCTCTCTCTCTCTCTCTCTCTCTCTGCTTATAAAAAGAAAAAACCTCTATTAACTGGATAAAATGGGAAACTTGAATAGATCAATAATAAAAAACAAAATTTAAACTTTTGATAAAGATTTATTTCCACAAAATTCTAGAACAGCACTGTAGTCACCCTTATGTTTTAACATAGAGGTGATATCTTGCGGAAATTACAATTTAAAATTAATAGTACTTTTGAAGAATGATTGTAATCATGTAGGAGCTATTACAGGAATATAAGAATACTATTTTAAAATATGTTAATAGATCAAATCAATAACTTAAAAAGTATGAAATTCAGAAATTCCTTTACTTTGTTTCTTGACTGCCCTTTACGGGCCTGAAGACTTTTTGAACATTGTAAATAGTAGCTTCTTATCATTATATGAGTCTTTGCTATTGATGATATAGGGATGGTAAATTAGTTCCTTTCAGACAAAAAATAGTAAGCATAAAATTACTGTACATCATCCACTATTACTAACTTAAGACAGGTGTGTTTATTCTATTCTTTTTCTAAGGCAGACATTGATTGGAAAAATACCATATAGCTTTAAATAGGCAAAAAGGAGTTCAATTCTGAGAGACAGTGTACTTAAAAGATACTCATTTACCTACATTTTAAGCTAATAGATCCTTGAATATTTACATTTTCATAGTTCAGACCCAAAGTTTCACCCACCGTAGGCCTACATCAATGGTTCTCAAAGTATGGTCCCTGGACCACTAGCATCAGCATTACTTTAGCTTATTAGAAGTGCAGACACTCAGATTCCATCCAAAATATAGTAAATGGAAGATGGAGAAAGGGCCCATCAACGTGCTTTAATAACAGCTCAGGAAATCTGATTCATCTGAAGATTTTAGAATGGCCATCTTGTGGAATACACCTCTCATTAATATTAATGGTGAGAAAAAATAAATAAAACATAGACCCTCTGAGGGTTGAGTTCATCCTTCTGTGGTAAGTTACTTCAAGAGTCTTTTCCATCTGTAGTTCCCTTGGGAATGAAGGCTGAATTTGTATTTCAAAGGTTATACATGAGCATAAGTTCTGACAATGTAAAGTACTTTGAGATCTTGGTTGAGTGGCTGCTTTGGTATGGGGAAAATATAGATTATTGCAGCTATGTGGGAAGTAGGAAGAAAAGCAGGTGGAATTGAAAATGGAGATTTGTGTATTTCTGGGTCAAATCCTGCCTTGCATGGCAAGAATGCCAAGTTCCAGCTGATCTTGGAATGTTAGAGGTGATTATGGAGGAAGCAGGCAGGGAGCCCAGATAAATGATCATTTAACAGAGGAACTGTGGCCGGAAGAGTGGGGTCATGAAAATATTGAACAAAGGAGCTCTGATTTGGAAGGAGGAGAAAGAATAAGCTAGAAATAGCAGTATCTGAAACAAATGAGGCAGCCTCATACAGTGTTCCAAGATCTAAATTTGAGCAGTTTTGCTGTGCTTACTTAAATATTTGGTTGTCTGGGATCCTAGCAATGAATTGCTAGGATTTTGATTAGAATCCTGTCAGAAGCTCTGGTAAGAAAAAGAACTGACCTGAAGTTCTAGAAGTAGATATGTGTGCAGCCTGCCAGAGCTCTTATTTTGCCCACCTGTAGAAGAGTAAGTGATGAAACAGGACCAAAAATATTGCTGCAATTTATTGGAAATATTGCTGTGAACTGTTTTGCATGCAATATCATGGAAGAAGCCTAAAATAATCTTTAAATTACCCTTTCATTAGAATATCAGATTTGTTTCCAAATGTCTTTTTTTCTTGACATTTAAAAGTGATCTTGAAAATTAAAAACCCTAGCATAATTGTGCTGAATCCTAACAGAACAGTTCTCATAAAAAATATTTTTCAAACTGCATGTTAAGGATATCAGGATAAAACAGGATGGCAGTTCCTCGAATTATTAAACATAAAAGTTCCATAGGATCCAGCAGTTCCACTTTTGGATAGATACTGAGAATAACTGAAAGAGATATTTGCACACCTATGTTCTTAGCAGCATTGTTCACAATTGCCAAAAGGTGGAAACAGTGCAAATGTGCATTTACAGAGGAAGGGATAAATGAAACATGATGTACACATAAAATGGAATGTGCTTTCAATGTTCTTAATGCTATTGGACTGTGTGCTAAAGCTGATAAATTTTACATTAAATATGTTTTACCATAAAAAGTATATCAAGAGAAACTTTTATATTTTAATGCATCTGTTTTACATATAATCAAATACCATAATAATGAACATCTTTATATGAAGGCAGTTGTCTAGATGCTTTACCCCAAATAATCCTGTTTAAATTTCATGCTGTACTTTTTGGTAGGTAATTATTGTCTCTTATTTTTAGTTATGTAAATTTAAGTACCAAGAAAGGACAGGCAAGAATTTCAATCCAAGCGGATAGGCTGCAAATCTGAGTTCTTAGAATAAAACTTAATAGACTGGGCATGGTGACTCACATCTGTACTCTCTGCTGCTTGGAAGGCTGAGACAGGATCATAAGTTCAAGGTGAACTTGGCAGGTCAACAAGACCCTATCTCAAAATAAAAATTTTAAAAGCATTGGGAAGATGGTTCAGTGGTAGAGTGTCTATCATGTGTAAAGCACTTGATGCCCAGTATTGAGAGAAACTTCATTAAAAAAACTTAATAAGTAGATAAAAAACCATGAGTACTGCTTTACTAATCAGAAAAAAAAGAAAATCTCACATTCCAAGATTATCTCTCCAAGTCCCAATTTTCATTGCAAGTTCTTTTGATCACATAAAGGCTATGGCATACTATATAGTTATGATATTCATGAAAAATTGCAAAAACTGGCAATTTATATCTATTTAAAAAATACAATTCCTGCAAAGGCCTGAGTATTTCAGCAGAAAAGTCTGTATCTTGTGACACGCATTTTCTTGTGCAGATGGTATGTCTTTCTGAAAATTGCCAGAAGAAAAGAACACATATTTTAGAAATGTTTGATATTGTAATCACAATGCATGCAATTTTTGCTCTATAATATGCATGCATTAAATTCAGGAGACTATTTGTCTGTGATGTTTTAGCATGTGAAATTTAAATTTGCAGCAATTTTGTGTGTATCTTTCCAAATATGTAGAAGATGGCCTTATTTACTGTTACCTTGGAAACAGCAATGCCCAACTGCTACGCTTATTCTCTTTAGTACAATTAAAAATCATTTTATGGAGCAAATGTAATTTAAAATATTATCCTCAAGCATAGATTTTAATTATGAAATAGGTAATGATGGTTAGTGTTAAAATTATGTGGAAAACTAAATATAGCTTTATAATAGAAAACATGTCAATGCCTTTAAAAACTTGTCTTAATCAATAAATGTATCACTGGACTTTTCCTTTACAAGTTATTTACAAATATTCTGATTATTGGTAAAGGATCTTGATTACAGGGTTAATAATTCTATGAAATTATAAAAATGCCATGCTTCATTTTTTTCCCAAAATTTTCTTAATAATTGGTGACCTTGAAGTATCTCTTATCAGTTAGTCTTTCTTCAGTAACTCCTGAATGGGACTTTCCATTGTAGTGTATGTTGACATACATGTTTTTTTCTTATATTTTTAGGACTCCACTATTGTTACTCCAATTATTTTGAGGACTGACCCTCAGGGATTTTTCTTTTACTGGACAGATCAAAATAAGGTAAGAAATGAGATATGTCTTTCATAATTTTTCCCATTATTACTGCTTTGCAAAATATCTATTTAATTGAATTAATTAAGTATATCCAGTTCACAGGTGCCTCTTAGGAATTTGTTTATAGATTCTGCTTTCAAAGAACAGCTGAGGTCAAATGTCTTAGGACTTTTCAAGAATACTGATTTGAATCATTAGATTTGTTAAAACCCCAAATAATTGGTAATTTTCAGTTTTGCTTATATTATTTGTTAGGACAAGAATATGCAAATTATGAACTGGATTTGGTGTAGAACATAATTAGGCAGTGTTGCTGGTTGAAGTCCTTGCCTATAAAGAATGAAGAGAAATGATGAGAAAATCACTTTTGACCCAATGACCATAGCCTTGACTTTTCCTTTTCCTTTCTTCTCCCCTGTGTTGTTCATTAAGAATTCTTCCAGCATCAACAGGAATTTGGCCTTGATAATTTACTCATGTTAGAAAATCAAGGATAAGAGTCCTCTAACTTTTCCCTTTAGGTTTCAGAAGTCTTCCCAAATTAGCTTTTTGCCCACAATACCAGGAATTTAATATCTCATTTATTATGAAACCAATTGATGATCCATACTGAATTATTAAAAAGTAGAATGTCTGAAGATCATAAGATTTATTTGAGGCTTAACAGGCATTTAGACGAGAATATTCATAGAAAGTGGTTATTATTTCAAAAGTTATTGGCGTAATTCTACCCTTGAACCTAAGAGGCACCAAATACAGAATATTTTCGTCCTCTGAGTACTGAGATTTGGAGAGATGGGTTAGAGTGCCTTTGAAGTGCTAAATACATTTTGAAACCAATAGAATAGGAATAGAATACCTTAGACTATCTGGGAGACCTAGGATTACTGGAGAAGAGTGTCCAAAATGTTAACTCTTTCAAATCTCCTCATTAGATCTCTGGTATCCAGAGTTCCTGGAATTATCCCTCTCACCTTCCACCTTTGGGGCAATGTCAATTACATCTTTGAGCAGTGACTTGGAATGGCCCTGTGCATCGGCAATTGTGCAGGGCAGAGTGAGCCTTGGGGAAAGGTTTTAGGGTACTGGAAAGTAATGTCTGGTCCCAGGGGCTAGTCCTGAATGGGCCCATTTACATATTACCCCAAAGGCAGATTTCAGCCTTGTGGTCCTAGAGTTATTTTCTAAATACTGTATGTGCATCCTGCAACCATCTGTGGCCACATATGTGGGACTGAACCATAGACTATGCTCATGTCAAAAATTATGTCTGAGTAAGATTTCATATTTAATGTTCACGTTTATTACTGGGTGTGTTAATCACTTTGGCTTAGACATTATGTTTGGTTTCCTGCTGTTATGTATAAAACAATGGCTTGAAAGAGTTTTTTTTTTCTCCTCCAAATGCTATTTTTAGAGCTGTTGGAGCTATATTCCTGAAAGATATATTTATAATGCCTAGAGCTTTTCTTAAGGTTGGGTATTTGTACAAGAGACCAAACTGTCAGTTTGATTTTTCAACTTGTAAATCAAGCTTCTATAAAAGCAAGAGAAGATATTTTGGGATTTTTAAATAATTCATGGAGACTCAGTTAAGCATCCCTTGAAGACCAATCATAAATATTTCTTTGCTGAAGAGAAAGGGCTTAAGACCAAAGGTTCTTTGATGCACTTCTATTGTTCCATGAACCTGATATTTTGACCCATGCTTATTTTCAAATATGGGAAATTTTCTTTTAGTTTTTTTACACTAGCCTTTTTCTCTTGGTCCTAGTTATGTATTTGACCAATTGAAACAAGTAATGTGGGTAGCAATTCCTTTTATCTCTTTTTATGAATATTAATCTTACAGTTCTAGATAGAGATGGTACATTTCCCTTTTCCATTTTAGATTCCTAATTCATTACTCAGTCATTTTTCAGTTCAGAGGTTTACTTTTTGGTCAATGATTATATATCTTAGAATCTAAAAAATGAAGAGATGTAAGAAAAACAAACTTAATATGCTTTCAAGTTTGTCATTTTCTTTCTGGCTTTATGCCTAGTCCCAGAACCAGGACAAGAGATGCATTCACTCTTAGGATATGGACTGTTATAGGAATGTGTTCTAGCAAACGTAGATTAGAAGAAATGGTGCATACAACGAACTTTGATACATCAAGCTTGTAGTCAGCATTTTTGCATAAAACCATCTGATGGTTCTTGGTGGAATTGTGCAATCATGATGTGACTTAGAGAAGTATTTTAATTATGATATATATATTTTTCCTGGCAAGTATTCTTAAGAATCTATTTCATGTTATTATAGTGATCCTATCTCAGAAAAAAAATATGATGCTTTTGTTTGGCCTTTGATGTTGCACACTCATTTTCCATTGGTTGGGGACCTTTCATTGGTATTTATTATAATATGCCTCTTTTGACTTCTTCTTTTGACCTTTTTTTGTAACATATTCCTTCTGTGGTTCATGATGCTTATACCAGAGCATTTTGATTAGCAATCACCTAAGCCTTGCGTGCTTACAAGTGATTTGAGTGTCTTTAAGAAGTTCTTGCTAAAGAGTGTTATTAAAGAGAGCTTTCTTTTTCTAGCTTTGGAAAAAAAAAAAAAACCACCATTTGTACTGTCTAACTCCTGTCCTTTTCTGCTTATGGCTACATTGTACCTCTTACCTGAGCTTCCCCCATTCTAAGCTTTTGGCTTTTCCTCCATAGACAGTGACATGTTGCCTTCCCCAGCCCTTCCTTTGATGCGTCATCCTCGAAATGATAGGTGCCAAAGAAGACAGCACAGATGAAAGATTTCAGAATTAAAAACCAGAGCTGGCAAGTCATTTTTAGGTAACTGAAATGGGTTTCAGTGAAACAGTGACAGGATTTGGGGGTTTGGTGGAAACAGATAAATATGAAAATCATTTTTAGGAAGAAATGTTCATACTTTTTAACCAGCTCTGGACTTATTTTGACAATTCTTCCCGTTTATGGTTGGTTCTGTAAAATCTTATTGAATAAAATTAGGAAATGCAGCTTTCTGAATATAACTATTTTGAGCACAGTGGTTTTTCTAGTGTAAATGTAGATTTATGTGAAGAGGATAAGTTTATTTCTAAGTCACGGGTGAGAAGGGGCTCCTGTCTAGCTGGAGTAGTGAAGTGCTGAATTAGGATATGACTTTCTTTTGTTTTGGATCTATGCCATATGGGTACCAGTAACCATATCAGGAAGTGTCAGCCATGAGAAGTATGTGATCAACAAGATTCTGCAGCAGAGTTTTGAAGGAAAGACTGAAGCAGAAAAGAGGGTCAATGTGAAAGAGCTAACACCTTTCTGTAGGCCAAGGAAGGTACTAAACCTTCTCTTTGCAACTCGATGCCCTGCTTGTATGCCAAGGTTGGTGTAAAAATAAAACAAGTTGCTACTAGTTCAGATCTGAAGTTCACTGTAGTTTGGTAAATGCTTCCTTGTATCCATAAAACAGGAGCTCAGAGGAAGGGAGGAGAAATTCATAATAAATTTTAAAATGAAAAACACACATTTTCAATGAAGGATTCTTACTACTTTCTTTGTTATAGATTTTTAATTTTGCAGAGAATATAAAGATATCTTTTTGTTCTTGTTGTTTGGAGAGAAAGTATAAAGCAGTCTAAATATTCTCAAGCCACACCATGGTGAACCCCAATCCTAGTCCTTTTTCTGAAGTCTACTGGTAATGGCTTCTTGGTTTCTTCCTGGGTTTCATTATTTAATTTTTTTTTTTTTACTTTTATTTTATCTTTTTTTTGTGGTGGAAACTGGGGATTGAACTCAGAGTTCTCTACCACTGAGTTACATCCCTAGCCCTTTTATTTTATTTTTTATTTTGAGACAAGTTGCTGAGGCTTGTGATCCTCCTACCTCAGCTTCTAGAATTGCTAGGATTGCACCATTATGCTTGTTTGGGTCTCCTTTTAATGAATCTGTGCAAGCATAAGTATGGAAATGTTTCATTCTATTTTGTTTATATTCACTTTTTTAAATAAATTTTTTTTAGTTGTTGATGGACCTTTATTTTATTTGCTTACTTACACATGGTGCTGGGAATCGAATGCAGTGCCTCACACATACAAGGCAAGTGCTCTACCGCTGAGCTACAACTCCAGCCCCTGCATTCCCTTTTTTAAAAAAATATGTATTTTTTAGTTGTAGTTGAACACAATAAATTTATTTTATTTACTTATTTTTATGTGGTGCTGAAGATTGAACGCAGGGCCTCACGCGTGCTAAGCCTAAGCAAGCGCTCTACCAGTGAGCCACAACCCCAGTCCCTGCTTTCACTTTTAATCCAACTTTCATCCTGTTATTTTTACTATTCCACAACTTGCTTTTTACTTCTCAGTATTTCTTATAGAAATTTTCATATGTGTATTTGCCTCATTCTTTTACATTACTCTATTGTATCCTAAAGAATAGATTGCTAACTTTTATTTACTAATAAAAGTGGTGGACCTTTGATGTTTATTTCTAATATGGAGCCATAGAAAGCAATAGTATAATAGAGAGTGATAGCCTTGTCTACATCTTTCTGAATATATGGTCCAGGGTATCCCTAAGGGAGATGCTTAGAAGTGCAATTGCTGATTGAAGTCTATACATATCCAAAATTCTAGCTATTGGCTGTGCTGTGCATTGTATAACAGCCCCCCCCCCCCGGTCTTAATATGAGAGAAGCAGTTTTCTTAAATCTCACTAGTACTGCTAGGAAACATTCTGATTTTTGCCAATCTGATACAACAATTATATCTCTTTGTTTTAATCTACTACAGCCCGATTTGCTAGTCAACAATGTATATTTTCTTGCATGTTTTGGCTGGCTGTTTCTGTTCCTTCTTACATAGATTGCCTGCTTATACCTTCTGCCCTTGTGATGGTAGTTCTCTTTGCATTCTAAGTGTTAATTCTGTAACTGTTGTAAATGTTGCAAACTTCTTCCTGTCTGTGGCTTGTCTTGAATTTCTTTACATCAGATTC